ATATCAACAACTCAATATTTATGCTTGATTTGTTTAATTATAGATGGAAGGGGGGTTCAGACCTCCTTAGGAAGTCGGCGACTCACTTAATAGCTTTGAATTTAGTTATCATTAAAATTATAATGCCTAAGCTTTTTCTCACAAGGTCAATCTATTACCAACTAAGCGTTTGTAATCACACAACCGTAAGGATGACTAATCTCTCGTCAATTATATGCAATAAGCATTAATTACATTAAGATGGATTTTCCTAAGTGTTTTAATTTCCAGAAATTAGAGTCAGCATAATAGATAAGGAGCTTTCTAGATTATTATTTATATTAATATAAGTAATCCTTATATTTTGTTGCCATTGCTCTTTGGAATTTTCGTACAGAGATTTTAAGTCATTATAAATCATAGATAGTTTTTTTTAACTTTAAGTTAAGAAAAAAAGTTAGGTTAGCTTACTTCGACAATTTTAAAGTAATTTAATTTGGGCTATTTTTAGCCCAAAATTTGTGTTGAACTTATACAATTACCTTATTAACTTGGTAAATGCTAGAAAAATCTGATTTAAATCCCAATAAAATCGACAATTATGCAAATAATTGTGTTTCCAGTATATGTTTAAGGAAAGTTACCTACAATAAAAATGTTAGGTATTGAGCAATTTTAAAGTTTTGCTAGCTTCTCGTTTAAAGAAAACAAATACAAGTAATTTATTATTGAGGCAATTGAGTTATCATTCATTTCCTACCAAAGCCGCACAAATTCACGAGCAATTCTATAAGCGTCATATATATTTATATTTTGCACCAACAAATCTTACACAGTAGCCAGTTGCGTACAAATGGAATTTTACATTCTTTCCACCTGCTTAGATTGAATGCGCAAATATCATTCACTATTTCAAAGTAATAAAATATAGCTCCTGCCGAGCAGATGAGCGGATGAGTTCTTTGGACAAGCCACTTGTGACCGTGTTAGTTACCGATGGCTTTTGCTCCTATCGCAAGTGTATATTAAGAAAAGTGAATCTATCCGCTAAATTTATTTTTTAACATTACAAATTGTCCTTCACTTCCTCCAAACTAGGGCCGGCCCGGACAGGATGGAGCGAGAGGTCAGCCTGGGGCTCAAGGTCCTAAGGTAAAATTTCATAAATTGTAATGATTATTTTATAATTACTAAAGCTTGCATAGGTTTAGATAAAAAAATTTTTTTACTTGGATTATATAATATTCAGAGAGAAATGGAAACTAATCGGGAATATGGAAGGAAATAACACAAGTATTGACCAAATTTTTTCTTTTAATTCAATATTACTTTGTCTTAAATATGATTTCATGATCGAATAAAAATATTAATCCCAAACTGACAGAAATTGGCTCCTGCAATACAAAGTGCTATTGATTTCAATCAAAAAATCAAGGATACTCCACACGTCATTGTAAATTGTTTAGCCAACGTTGCCGCATTTTTTTCTTGAAAGAAACGCCTCTTTTTAATTTAAGACACTCACTTTTAAGAAAATCACGATGACAGTCAAAAGGATTATTGAGAAAAAGAACCAAATAAGAAATCCTAATTATTATTTAAAATAATATAATAATAACAAAAGTAAAAACCAATAAGTATATTACCTCTATCATGTGCTTAGGTTAATCTCTTTTATTGTTCTCATTTTGCCATCTATCTGCTTTAATTTAGTGTAAACTTAATTTAAACGTATACAACGTGTCGGAGATTATGGCTATTTTAGAGAAACACGAATTAATAGCATCAGTATCTTCATGTAAAAGTAATACTTTGGTCTAAAAGATTCCTAATTTTGCCTCATGTCTGAAAATATTTCAGCAGAACACATACGTCTCTTATGTGGCAGGGACTGTCAGAGCCAGAAACCTTCCTTTTACAAAATTTATCCAAACACTTGGACAATACTAGTCTCCAGCTTAGTGAATATGAATTTATCATGTCAATTCGTGTCCTTGTGCTTAATTTATTCTGAGTATATTCGCGCATATGTGACTTCAGACTAAAGTTAATAAAGTCTTCATTTTCTTTAAACAAATTTCGATAAAATTTTAATTCTTGCCTAAAAGATGGTATAATTAATTTTCAGTATGTAAGTAGGTTTTTCAGACTACTACTAGATCTGATATAAGATCTACATTTACCCCATTATGTTTATGGTAATGAAGAACTGGTAGTGGAAGTTTCTCACAATGATGTGAGTATGTCTCATGTTTCCAATTAATTTCACATAGTCTTACTTCCCAAAAGGTATTATCGTTCAGAATTAACTGCACTTCCTACTTCACCTAGGTCTCATCAGCATCCCCAGCGTGACTTGAACTTAGGTAGTGCAGCGTATAGTATCTACGCTACGCCATCATGAGTACCCTTGGGCGACAGGGCAGAAGTAAATTTTAAGCAAGCCTAGGCCTTTACCATATCACATATCTGTGGTGGGATTACCGATGAAGCAAAGTTGTATTTACCATGGCAATCAGCTATATTACTTATGTTCAGAAGTGGTCCGACCTCGTCTTCTAAACTTGGTCGTGTTGTCATTGAGACCTAGTTGGATGTACCTTGACCAAAGTCCTCTGTTTCGGCAGAAATAATAATTCCCAGCGTTGGATCGTGGACTGGATACGTTACTAGACGTTATGCCAGCAACGTAGTCGACATAGTGAATATTACTAGCGTTAGCAACAAGCTACAAAACGTGAAATAAATAAGTGAAGTCAATCCCTTGATTAACTTTCTGCCTAAAGTATGTGTTATTATTTCTCCTTCTCTCCTGGCACATTTACCTACTCCCTATCATTGTATTTCACTCCCATTCTAACACAACTTATGACGTGTTTATATTCGATTCGTTTATAGGTGAATCCTTTTTAAATGTTTAGTTTAGCGTAATTACCTCTGCTTGTTTACGATGCTCCTCTCCAGCTCGACTTTCCGGAATCGCTAATAGCCCAGGAGATGCGCTTCTTATTTTATCCTTGACTGATTACCATTGGTTCCAGTCAAAGG